CCGCCCCTGCCAGCAGGCACGTACGCAGCGTCGATGTGCACAGCCATACACGTGTCTCGCGGGCCGCTTTCTCAAACCCCCTGAGCTTCTGGAAAAAAGTCGCCCTGGAAAGTGGAAAAAGTAGCCCCTGAAATTTTGGGGGAATTTGCAAAAAGAGCTCTGGAAAAGTAGCCCCTGAAATTTTGGGGGAATTTGCAAAAAGAGCCCCGGGAAAAAAAAATCGCTTACCCCTACTTACAAATATTTGGGTGTCATTATTAGTAGCGATCATCGCTGGAATGCCCACATCGATTGTATTTGTAAAAAAGCGTCTCGCTCCTTTGGTATGTTACGGCATAACATTAGCTTTACCAATTTTAAAACGTTGTCTCATGGTTCTCCCCATATTAGAACGTGTTTCGCCAGGCTGGTGCCCTTATACACTTCAGAACTGTTCTAAATTCAATTGGATGCCATTCATCATAAATCTGCGAGATGGGTTTCCAAAAAATATCATGATAGTGCGGATATTGTTTTGGCTCAACTTGATTGGCGTCCTCTTTGTGTCTGCTTTCTCCATGCTAAACATAACTTTTCATAAAATTTATCATGGTCAGGTGAAGATTGGCATTCCCCTTGCTTGATGAAGCCTGTTTGTTGCACTCGATCATCTGAGCGTGATCATTGTTTTCGACATGTGCCATCTTCAAAGGATCTCTTTATATTATAAAGTTTAGCTTCTTTGTTTCTGTCGTTCCGTAATGGAATTCTCTCCCTTCCTGTTCAGTTAATTGTCCACGAAGTACACTAGTAAGTTTGTAAATTATAGAGTTATATCTAGACTACTGTGTCTTGTGGTCTTGCTTTTAAGTGCTAAACTAGTGTAGTCGTGCTATTTAATTATTTCCGCTGTGACAGTCGATGATCAGCGTGTTTGTCTCTATCTGCAGTGTCATCGTCTCTGCCAGCATAATGTTCATTCTGTGCTCACTCGCCCCAATACCCTTGTCACGAATCTATCTGCAATCGTAGTCAGCCACACAAGCTACTTATAGCCATGATTTTTGA